TAGTTGACCATTTGTATATAATTTAGCCTTGTATACCATCCAGTCTATAGGTAGAGAGTGAGTAAGGTAGCTATGATGCCTTGAATTATGTTGACTCATGAGCTACTAGTGTATGTATGGCTTCCAGATGACCCAGCCAGGCTTCTGTACAGTGTCCGAGATGGCCAGTGTGTCTGGATGAATGTAATAATTTGTTGAATTGATATGAATTCAGCAGCAATATGTACAGTTGACAGGTTTGTTTATATTCAAAGTACTGAATTTGAATTATTCCACTGAATAATTTGATATAGTAAGTACCCTAGTTAGTTGAGAAAGATGTAAGGTTAGTCTTGTATAAACAGCTTAAAAAATAAAACTACTGCAGTTTTTGTCTAAGCCAGTATAACTGTGGATTTACAAATGAAAGGCTCCTGATTCAGTCACCTACTCAGAGTGTTACCTGCATGATAGGGTGAGATTCTCATTTTAGTTTATTTTTATTTATTTTTTTATTAACACATCGACCGTTTCCCACCAAGGTAGGGTGGCCCAAAAAAGAAAAACGTTCGCCATCATTCACTCCATCACTGTCTTGCCAGAGGTGTGCTTACACTACAGTTATAAAACTGCAGCATTAACGCCCCTCCTTCAGAGTGCAGGCATTGTACTTCCCATCTCCAGGACTCAAGTCCGGCCTGCTAGTTTCCCTGAGTCCTTTCATAAATAATACCCTGCTCACACTCCAACAGCACGTCAAGTCCTAAAAACCATTTGTCTCCATTACACGCTCATGCATGCTTGCTGGAAGTCCAAGCTCCTTGCACACGAAACCTCCTTTACCCCCTCCCTCCAACCTTTCCTAAGCCTTCCCTCCAGTACAGATTTATACACTCTCGAAGTCATTCTATTTCGTTCCATCCTCTCTGCATGTCTGAACCACCTCAACAACACCTCCTCAGCCCTCTGGATAATAGTTTTGGTAATCCTTCACCTCCTCCTAATTTCCAAACTATGAATTCTCTGCATTATATTCACACCTCAGACATGACATCTCTGCTGCCTCCAGCCTTCTCCTTGTTGCATCATTCACCACCCATGCTTCGCACCCATATAAGAGCGTTGGTATAACTATTCTCTCATACATTCCGCTCTTTGCTTCCATGGACAGAGTTCTTTGTCTCCACAAACTCCTCAGTGCATCACTCGCCTTTTTTCCCTCGTCAATTCTGTGATTCACCTCATCTTTCATAGACCCGTCTTCTGACACATCCACTCCTAAGTATCTGAATACATTCACCTCCTCCATACTCTCTCCCTCCAATCTGATATCCAGTCTTTTGTTACCTAATTTTTTTGTTATCCTCATCACCTTCCTCTTTCCTATATTCACTTTTAATTTTCTTCTTTTACATACCCTGTCCAACTCATCCACCAACCTCTGCAATTTCTCTTCAGAATCTCCCAAAAGCACAGTGTCTTCAGCAAAGAGCAGCTGTGACAACTCCCACTTTGTGTTAGATTCTTTATCTTTTAACTCCACACCTCTTGCCAGCATCCGACCATTCACTTTTCTCACAACCCCATCTATAAATATACAGTGGTCCCTCATTTATCGTTGTTAATCCGTTCCTGGAAGTGCAACGATTATCGAAATAGACAATTTTCGAATCAATTTTCCCCATAAGAAATAATGTAAATACAATTAATCCGTTCCTGACACCCAGAGGTATTAAAGCAAAAAATTTTTTTACATGAAATATAGATGTAGTACATAAACAATACAATGGGACATGAATGAAACATTAACAGCATAACACTTACCTTTATTGGCGATTCTTCTTAGTGTATGGAAGTCTGGAGGAGGAGAAAGATTGGATTAGTTACTGTTTGGAAGGGGAATCCCCTTCCATCAACACCTCAGGTACCAAGTTCTTTTCTGGGGTTACATACTTCTCTTCTCTGTTCTTAATGCCACTAGGACCAGCTTGAGAGTCACTGGAGTCCTGTCTCACAAAAAAAGTGTCCAGAGAGCTCTGTTTCTGGCATCTCTTTAAAACTTCCCTAAAATGAGCCAAGACTCTGTCACTGTACAAGTTACCGATATGGCTTGCAACATCCTTCTCAGGGTGATGTTTCTCCATAAATCTTTCCATCCTACCCCACATTTCAAAAATTGCCTTAATTTCTGAAGAAGGTACCTTCTTCCATCTCTCTTCCTCCTCCTCTGCAGCAAGATTCTGAACTGCGATCTGTTGCTGTTCCTGCTGAAGCTCTTGCAGCTCCTCAGTGGTTAGCTCTTCGTTGTGGTCCTCCACCAACTCTTTCACTTCCTCCAAACTCCAACAACATGGAACTCCCCAATTCCACATAGATTTCACAACTGACATAGGTTCATCAGGGTCAACCACAAACCTTTCAAAATCCCTCTTGTGGACACAATATGGCCACAATTTTCTCCAAGCAACAACAGCTTCCTTGATTTCCTTTTTCTTTGCCACGATGGAAGATATAGTTGTGTGGGGTTTGTTATACATCCTGGCCAGTTCGGCCACACGTACGCCACTTTTATATTGTTCAATGATGTTTTTCTTAAATTCAATCATATTTCTCACCTTCTTTACCAAAGGCTTGGCACTAGGAGCTTTCTTTGGAGCCATGGTAGCTTATTTAGCACTTGCAAGCACTAAAATGAGTGAAATATTATGAAATATTTCGTTTGAACAAGTGAGGGGACCGTCTCTCACTGGTAAACAATGGCACACTGGCTGGGAAGGGAGGCTGAGGCGGCTCAGAGCCGTGAGTACGTGTCCAGGACAAACGACGATTACCGAGTCAACCGACCATTTGCAAGCCAATATTTGGACGAAAATAACGCGACAATTTCCGAAAAGGACGACTATCGAGCCCGACGATTATCGAGGGACCACTGTATTGAACAACCATTGTCACATCACTCATCCTTGTCTAAGGCCTACTTTTACTGGGAAATAATCTCCCTCTCTCCTACATACTTTAACCTGAGGATCACTATCCTCATAAAAACTTTTCACCGCTTTCAATAACCTAACTCCTATTCCATGCATTTGCTACATCTGCCACATTGCCCCCCATCCACCCTGTCATGCATCTTTTCCAAATCCATAAATGCCACAAAACATTTTAGTTTAGTGGGCTGTAATTCAGTCAGTGCTTTCCCAGAAATGCTAGTACGCAACATAATTATGTATTACATGTATAAGGTTTTAGAGTGGGTAGGGAATGTGTAGATCAAGTGTTTACATTGAAGCATATATGTGAACAGTATTTAGATAAAGGTAGGGAAGTTTTCATTGCATTTATGGATTTAGAAAAGGCATATGATAGAGTGGATAGGGGAGCAATGTGGCAGATGTTGCAAGTATATGGAATAGGTAGTAAGTTACTAAATGCTGTAAAGAGTTTTTATGAGGATAGTGAGGTTCAGGTTAGGGTGTGTAGAAGAGAGGGAGACTACTTCCCAGTAAAGGTGGGTCTTAGACAGTGATGTGTAATGTCACCATGGTTGTTTAATATATTTATAGATGGGGTTGTAAAAGAAGTGAATGCTAGGGTGTTGGGGAGAGGGGTGGGATTAAATTACCGGGAATCAAATACAAAATGGGAATTGACACAGTTACTTTTTGCTGATGATACTGTGCTTATGGGAGATTCTACAGAAAAGTTGCAAAGGTTAGTTGCCAAGTTTGGGAGAGTTTGTAATGGTAGAAAGTTGAAAGTGAACATAGAAAAGAGTAAGGTGATGAATGAGGGTATCAAATGATTTAGATAAAGAAAAATTGGATAGCAAATTGGAGAGGAGGAGTATGGAAGAAGTGAATGTTTTCAGATACGTATTTGGGAGTTGACGTGTCAGCGGATGGATGTATGAAGGATGAAGTTAACCATACAATTGATGAAGAAAAAAAGATGAGTGGTGCATTGAGTTATATGTGGAAACAAAAAACATTATGGAGGCAAAGAAGGGAATGTATGAAAGTATAGTGGTACCAACACTCTTATATGGGTGTGAAGCTTGGGTTGTAAATGCTGCAGCAAGCAGGCGGCTGGAAGCGGTGGAGATGTCCTGTCTAAGGGATATTTGTAGTGTAAATATTATGAAGAGAATTCAGAGTGTGGAAATTAGGAAAAGGTATGGAGTTAATAAAAGTATTAGAGGGTTGAAGAGGAGTTGTTGAGGTGGTTTGGTTGTTGAGGTGGTTTGGTCAAAGTAGAATGGCATGGAGAGCGTATAAATTTGTAGGGGAAGGAAGGCGGGGTAGGGGTCGTCTACGAAAAGGTTGGAGGGAGGGGGTAAAGGAGGTTTTGTGGGAAAGGGGCTTGGACTTACAGCAAGCATGTGTGAGTGTGTTAGATAGGAGTGAATGGAGACAAATGGTATTTGGGACCTGACGAGCTGTTGGAGTGTCAGCAGGGTAATATTTAGTGAAGGGATTCATGGAAACTGGTTATTTTTATATAACTGGACTTGAGTACCGGAAATGGGAAGTACAATGCCTGCACTTTAAAGGAGGGGTTTGGGATATTGGTAAATTGAAGGGATATGTTGTGTATCTTTATACTTACACAAATAACCCGCACATAAAAGAGAGAAGCTTACGACGACGTTTTGGTCCGACTTGGACCATTTACAAAGTGTGACTTTGTAAATGGTCCAAGTCGGACCGAAACGTCGTTGTAAGCTTCTCTCTTTTATGTGCGGGTTATTTGTGTATCGTTCCAGTCACGGTATTGTGCCTTTTTTTTTTTGTTATCTTTATACATATATGCTTCTAAACTGTTGTGTTCTGGGCACCTCTGCAAAAACAGTGATTATGTGTGAGTGAGGTGAAAGTGTTGAATGATGATGAAAGTATTTTCTTTTTGGGGATTTTCTTTCTTTTTAGGTCACCCTGCCTCAGTGGGAGATGGCCAACTTGTTAAAAAAAAAGAAAAAAACAACAACTGCAAGGTATTACAATATTTTATTGTTTTGTTTTCAGGTTATTTGAAAGTGGCGAGTACAGTGACATAACTTTTGTGGTGCAGGGTAAATCATTTCCGCTTCATCGTTGTTTGCTGATTGCCCGTTCAGAATATTTCAGAGATATGTTCTCATCACGCTGGCATGACAGGTCAAGAATAACCATCAACAAAGATTTGGTGAGTGCTGTTTGAGGAATTCTAAGCAGTGCTGTCTGCTGACAGGATGTAGATATTACACTACTGCTTTCAGATGTAGGTTTTAATTACTGCATTTGATTATGGTAAATTGCATAGTATTTTTAAGGCAACCAGCAACTATTCTTAATTATTTGAATGAGCTTTTCTGTGTCAGTGTAATAATGGATTTGTTTGTTGATCACAATTTCTAGTGTCTTTGGGTAGGCATTTATACTTTCATATACGTATTTACTTTTATATTTTTATTATTTGTTATTTGTATAGGTATTACAGGCTAAGAGCTATTATCCTATGTTTTTAACACATTTGCCATCTCCCACTGAGACAGGGTTACCCCCCCCCCAAAAAAAGAACACATTCACTATAATTCATTCAGTGACTATCTTGCCAGAAACATGCTGAGTCACTTCTGAGTTCAGATGACCCTCCAAACTGCAACATTCACATTCCTCCTTTAGGATATATTATCCTTCATCAGTTCGTGTTGAAGCCTGACCATTGTTGTGGTATACTGTCCCTCAGAAAGTGACCCACAACAGTCAACTAATAACAATGGACAGTACTTATTTATTGCAAATTGTAAAAGGACTGCAGATGTGAGGAGACTTATCCATAGATTTTGCTTTGTCCAGAGATCAAAAACCAGGTATTTACATTTGTGAGCTTTGACCACTGAGCTATAAGTCACCATTATTATTCTGGTAGAAAAAACTTATTACTTGTTTCTCATATGAAGTACATTAGATTATTTGAAAAAGTGGTTGGAGTTAGCATTAGTATTTAAATTGTTCTGTACAGTGCTCATGTACCGTACAGTATGGTTGTACCTATTTAAGGCAGGCAGAATTTAAGATACGGAAAATATGCAAAAAAATTTTTTTGCTCGTATTATTATGGCAAATACCTAGGTTACTGTGAATTCCTGAAATTTCTCAATTTGTGCTCACTGGAGTGCAGATGAGAAAGACATATTATAAGTCACATATGTTAGTTACTAAAAGCACTGATTTTTAATCTTCATACTAAAATTACTCCTTAAGAGAGTGGGAGGCATAATACACTACAAATAATCTTGATGAAAAATAGGTACTCAGTATGTACTCAAAGATAAAATTTTAGTAACTCAAACTTCTAAATCATTTATATATATATATGCCACTTACATTTCCTAGTGTTTACTCAACATCTTCAAAACCCTGAACTGTGCTGATCCTGACTTAAAACTTTAACTTGTAAGCTGTAATAGAACATATGGACATCACACTCTAAGCAAATATTTTTTATATTCCTTGTGTTTGCTTGAATTTATATGCAACTTAAAGGTCCAAAAATTTGGAATAACTTTACATTTGAAGCAAAAAAATGTAAATTATTAAAGAATTCGAATGAAAACTAAAAAAATATACATGTATTTATATAAATAAATTTTTAACTCCTTGGAAAAAGGCTCAGAACTACAAGACAGGTTGACTCAAAAAAGAAAAAAAATACCTTATAAAATTTTTCTTCTTTTTACATGTAGTAATTTTATACAGGAGAAGGGGTTACTAACTTCTTGCTCCCGGCATTTTAGACGCCTCTTATGATACATGACTTATGGAAGAAGGATTCTCTATGTGTATGCTGAATGTAAATAGAAGTCTCATAAACACACACATTATGTGTGTTTATGAGACAGAGCGAAAAGAATTAGCATTCATGCCAGAGTGCAAAAAAAAAAAAAAAAAAAAAAAAAATACAGTAGATTTCCATTCACACTCACTTGACAAGACAATAGTGTTTCCCAGGATGCTTGCCATCTACCAACTACTACTACTGTACTTGGTTTTAGGTCAGTATCAGCAATACAGTGAAGTTTCTTAAATGATGAGTGACCTGTTGGAAGTGTGTATGGCATTAATATTTAGAGATTTTATGAATTTGAATAAAGGCGTAGTCACTATTCTTGCACCCTTCTGTGCAGTGTAATATTACATATAAGTTGTAGAAACATTTATGTACTTATGCATTTTTTGTATTGTGTTATCTTAATTATTACTTTGCTTATTCAATAAATAGTTTTTTCATTTACCTTTGTACACCTTTCATTAATTTCCTGAATTAGCCTAAGTTTTGCCTGAAATGCTGAACACAGTATTTGCTTTGTAAGATTTATTACATATAATACACACCTGTGAACTGTATCACACCTATGATTGTAATTTTTTTCATAAATAATAATTTGATCCTGATTTCATTTTGTATAAAGGATTCAAGAGTTTTCAACATCCTCCCATTTAGTATAAGGGCAACAGTAAGCAGATAACCTGCATGAAAAGTTAGCCCCTCATCTGTTTCTTCACCTTGATTCATAAATTCACATTGACTTTGCTAATATTTACCATATTGTTGCTGTCAGTTGTGATCTTATGCAGGCTTATGATACTACATGGCCAGCAAAGCATGTTTTCATTAGAATAATTTGAGCATAAACTTGCTCCATTTTGCTGTCAGTCAACTTTCAAATCTATTTTTCTTGGTTTTGGTTTTCTTCGTATGATAATGGGGTTTTCATAGTTTATGCTGGTATGGACCCTCAACTGATGGCCACCTTGCTGCAGTAAGTAGTTGCTTTGGTTTTCGTAGGCTTTAGGTTCTCTGCAAAACAAGTTTTCTGACTTTCACATGATGTCTTCTCATTCCTTGTTGCCCTCTTTAACTTTCAGCATTCCCAATCATGATTAACTTAAGAATTCCTTGGCCATCTGTATCATTATTGTGGAAAAAACACAGCTTCTCTTAAGACCAATTGTCTTTTAAGGTTAACCTCCTCCAGATTTTTTCTCAGGTCTTCTCGGACGAGGAACACTGGCCCTTCGTTGCCTCCACTTGACCTAGGTTTTTGTCTTTTGTAATATGGAGACCAGCTTAGAGAAGGAAGTTACATTCTGTAACTTCCTTCTCTAAGCTAAATGTCATTAATCTCTATAGTTTATGGTTATGTTTGAAGTCTTTTGGTAATAACCTTGTCAAAATCTTTTATATTAAGTGTAATGTCTCCTCATTACAAGACTTGTAATAATCACTGTTTTTGTTTCCATTATTTTCATGATATGACTTGGTGTTCTGTGATGTTAGTAAGTTCCATCATTTCCATAAACAATACTCCTAATTGCATCCTTTTGATGTCTTCATTCAGTCACTTTTTTTTTTCATATTTTGCTGAGTTGGCTATTGCCATCTTCTGTATTGCTCCTTAGACAATTTCATTATTTATTGTCATTTCAGTTTTTCACAGTTCATTACAAGCAATCTAGTATTGTGATTCTTCTGCTCCTCTGGTACTTGACAAAGACTATTTTAGGATAATGAACCTGAAGGACTAGTAATCTAGGATAACCCAGGGAAGCTTTATCAGTGTTTGTCTTATTTCCATTGGGGTCTTTTGGTCCTCCTCCTCAGGGTGTGACTCACGACAGTTGGCTAACCCTCGGGTGAACAGGGGCAACGAGAGATGGGAAACATGCTCAGAGTCTCCATGCATCTCAGGATCAAATGCAGGTCCTTTGGTTGTAAGCTGATGGTTCCACTACTGAGTCATGAGCATATGAAGTTGGCTTCCATGTAGTCTGTAAACTCAGTGAATAAACCAAAGAATGTACAGGAACTCAAACTGTGGCCCGGGCATGTAGCAGGCCCAGTGCAGTACGAATGAGCCACAAATCTTACAATAGGAGATTTAACAGACAACATTTCTGTAACTTGATTTTTTCATTGGCACTGTGTTTATTCTTCTCTTTATTCACGAACAGTCATTCATTACGAAATACTTTGAGTTTATAGACTCTATGACTTTGAGAGGTATGAGAATAGATATACTATGAAAACTTCTGAGTCTGTGGAAAGAGACAGTTGGGTCACAGCTAGTGACCTCATAAAGTGACTTGTGAGGTACAGTATACCACCTCATGAAGTGGCCTACAAAGTGTACTACCTCCCATGAAGTGGCCCATGAAGTGTACTATGTACCTCTCATGAAGTAGCCCATGAAGTGTACTACCATGCATGAAGTGGCCCACCTTTCTTGAAGTGGCCTGCAAAGTGCACTATTTCCCATGAAGTGGCCTGCAAAATGTACTACCCCCCATGAACTGTACTACCTCCCATGAAGTGGCCCAGCTTTCATGAAGTAGCCCATGAAGTACTACCTCTCATGAAGTAGCCCGTGAAGTACTACCTCTCATGAAGTAGCCCGTGAAGTACTACCTCTCATGAAGTAGCCTGTGAAGTATACTGCCTCTCATATAGTGGCCTGCAAGTGTACAACCTCCCATGAAGTGGCTAGCCAGCCAGAGTAACTGTCCACCACTGTCCTAGTGTTTGCCCTCGTGGTTTTTTAAATCATGCTTTGCTCTAGCCCTCCCTCCCTCGTGCGTGTGCGCGCACACACACACACACACACATGCACACACACACACACACACACACACACACACACACACACACACACACACACACACACACACACACACACACACACACACACACACACACACAGGGATGTTAGGAAGTACTTCTTCAGCCACAGAGTAGTCAGGAAGTAGAATAGTTTGGGAAGCGATGTAGTGGAGGCAGGATCCATACATAGCTTTAAGCAGAGGTATGATAAAGCTCACGGCTCAGGGAGAGTGACCTAGTAGCGACCAGTGAAGAGGCAGGGCCAGGAGCTAGGACTCGACCCCTGCAACCTCAACTAGGTGAGTACAACTAGGTGAGTACACACACATGACATAAAATACTGCACGGAATAGACAAGGTGGACAAAGACAGGATGTTCCAGAGATGGGACACAGAAACAGAGGGTCACAATTTGAAGTTGAAGACTCAGATGAGTCAAAGGGATGTTAGGAAGTATTTCTTCAGTCATAGAGTTGTCAGTCAGTGGAACAGCCTAGAAAGTGAGGTAGTGGAGGCGGGAGTCATACATAGTTTTAAGACGAGGTTTGATAAAGCTCAGGGAGCAGGGAGAGACAGGGCCTAGTAGCAGTCAGTGAAGAGGCGGGGCCAGGAGCTATGAATCAACCCCTGCAACCACAAATAGGTGAGTACAAATAGGTGAGTACACACACACACAGGGGCCAGGAGCTGAGTCTCGACCCCTGCAACCACAATTAGGTGAGTACACACACACACGCGCGCGCGCGCGCTATACAGAACTTGGAGGAATCGGAAGTAACATGGTTCGATCCAAGGAAATGGAGGTCAGGTTCAGTTTCCCTGGATCAAGAGCCTCACTGGCATCGAGGAACCGCCTCCCTTAAAGGGAGTTTTGTTTACTAATTTCTGAACCCCACCCAGTAATATCCTCATCTGTTAACACAGGCAGTTTTTTTTCTTTTATTTAGATAAAATTGAATATAGTATTAGCATTGTGCTGCTGCCGTCGTGTATATAATAGTTACACAGTGGGAACAAAAGCTAGCTATATTTCCTGTTATATTCAGTCACAAAGGATGGGCCACGTAGTGTTGGAATGTGTCAGCCTGAGCTGGGGGACTTCAGTAGGGCGATGAGTATATCATCAAGTATTCCAGTAAGGGTTCATCAACTACAGTAGCTTCAAAGGTTTCCTTCCAGCAGACTGGAGTTCCTATCACTTGGGAATTGCCATCCCAGGCGTTGGAGAGGGATGGTGGGTAAGGGCGGACACTGGTAGCGGGATGGGATAGAAGGAGCAAGGAAAAATGCTACGAAGTATTGCCAGTGGCGCGCAGAGGTCTGTTGATGCCCCGGGCCAACTCCTTGATTGTATGCTCCAAAGACTCAGGTATAAGACCTAGTACTGAGAAATATTATGAGAAAGATATTTTGAATATGTAAACACAGATGAAACATGAAATAAACACTTTATTCGATTTAAATATAAATCAATCAAATTTTTTAAGTTCTTTCCCCAAATGACACCTCCTGTCAGAAAACACTTGAACTACTTCACTTTTTACATCAGCTGTGAGAAATTCTTTTTCAGTGCTTATTAGAGCCAGATTGGTCAGTCGTTCCTGTGACATTAAAGACCTCCGATATGTTTTTATTAATGTCAGTTTTGAAAATGACCTTTCACAACTTGCGACTGAAAATGTGATTGTCAGCTAAGTAATGTGTATGAAACAGCGTGGGAAAGACATCCCTCCCATACTGCAGCAAAGACTCCACAGCATCTTTACCATCACGAGGAATTCTATTCCCTGCAGCTTGAAGGAGCATCACAAAATCAGTAATTTCGTCATATAACTGAATGGCTGCCACATCATTATCATAATATTTTGCAAAGTCTGAACATTTCTTTGTTCATCTTCAATTGGGGGGCACCATTTTCTCTGGAAAGTAAGGGTACACCATATTAAAGGAATAAAGGGCTAACCACTGCCTCTGTAGTGCGGCGAGTCTCCAAAACTTGATTTATCACCACTGAAATTTCAAAATCACTATCATATTTCCCTCTCTAATTGGATGCCCCCCCACCATATGGATGCCCGGGGCCACCGCCCCTTCGCCCCCCTCTGCACGCCACTGAGTATTGCCACATATTACTGGTGTATTTTGTCTCTGCAGTTTATTTAATACTCATATGATTTATAGATAAAAAAAACTGGGCAAGAAATATTTTTTTTTAGCTTGAAAGCATTCACATTAACTTTTTAAATGTAAATGTGTCTCCGTGTGTCCCCTGTCTCCGCGTGTCCCCCTGTCTCCGTGTGTCCCCCTGTCTCTCCCTGTCTCCCTGTGTCCCCCTGTCTTCCTGTGTCCCCTGTCTCCCTGTGTCCCCCTGTCTCCTTGTGTCCCCCTGTCTCCTTGTCCCCCTGTCTCCCTGTCCCCCTAGTCATGAGTTACAGTCACTTGTTAAATGTCAGAGTCACTTGTTAAATGTCAGAGTCACTTGTTAAATGTCAGAGTCACTTGTTAAATGTCAGTCACTTGTTAAATGTCAGGGGCACTTGATCTTGTTAAAGGTCAGAGGGCACTTGTTAAAGGTCAGTAGTCATTTTTTTAATAGTTACGGGTCACGTGTAAAGGTCAGTATCACCTGACGAAAATCAGGAATTTCTTTCCACTGGTCATTTGTTTAGAAACAATTTTCTCCCATCATCATTTTCATTACATTTTTTAGCACACATGCTTTTCTGGCAGCATATTTGAAGTCTTGGTCTGGATGTACGTGTGTGTAGCATTTTTATCTCGCTGGACTGAGGGTCGAGCCTCCACTACTCCTATTGAATAACTTACTCACTAAAAACATAATAATTCCTCCACTGCTATGTCTTTTAGTATTTTTATATCTCAAACCCAGCATTCGTTTTCACAAACACGAAAACAACATGAAGTACATATTGATGAAGTACTTATCAGTGATGAAGTACATAGTCTTATATCAATGTTCTGTTGTTTGTGCGCAGGTTCACCCCGGAGCATTTAGTGCAGTCATGAAGTACATCTACACTGGAAGGTTCGAGTGTTCGCTGGAGCTGGTCGAGAGAAGTATTCGCATTGGCATGAACTGCAAACTGACTAATTTTAAAACCATGGTGGAGGACGCACTCAAGAAGGCTCTCACGTTACGTGAGTGTTCACTTCTTCTCAGGTGTACTAAACCTGTGAGAAATATACACAGGTGCAGAGCATCTTCTATTGTGACAACGGTTCACTGTTTAGAGCGTTCATCTAGTCAGTGGTGCTGATGTGATAAAGCTCTTCACAGCAAAATATTGTCAATAAGCGAGTTACTCACCACTCGTATACCTTCCTTACTCTGGGCCGTACCAGTACTAGAGTTGTAGTATGACTGTACCAGTACTACAGTTGTAGTATGACTGTACCAGTACTACAGTTGTAGTATGACTGTACCAGTACTACAGTTGTAGTATGACTGTACCAGTACTACAGTTGTAGTATGGCCCTTTTACCAGTATACAGTTGTAGTATGACTGTACCAGTACTACAGTTGTAGTATGTACCAGTACTACAGTTGTAGTATGGCCGTGTACCAGTACTACAGTTGTAGTATGATAGTGTACCAGTACTACAGTTGTAGTGTGACTGTGTACCAGTACTACAGTTGTAGTATGACTGTGTACCGTACTACAGGGTTTTAGTATGACTGTGTACCAGTACTACAGTTTGTAGTATGAAACCCTGTTACCAGTACTACAGTTGTAGTATGATAGTGTACCAGTACTACAGTTGTAGTGTGACTGTGTACCAGTACTACAGTTGTAGTATGACTGTGTACCAGTACTACAGTTGTAGTATGACTGTGTACCAGTACTACAGTTGTAGTATGACTGTGTACCAGTACTACAGTTGTAATATGACTGTGTACCAGTACTACAGTTGTAGTATGACTGTGTACCAGTACTACAGTTGTAGTATGACCGTGTACCAGTACTACAGTTGTATGACCGTGTACCAGTACTACAGTTGTAGTATGACTGTACCAGTACTACAGTTGTAGTATGACTGTTTACCAGTACTACAGTTGTAGTATGTACCAGTACTACAGTTGTAGTATGACTGTGTACCAGTACTACAGTTGTAGTATGTACCAGTACTACAGTTGTAGTATGACTGTGTACCAGTACTACAGTTGTAGTATGACTGTGTACCAGTACTACAGCTGTAGTATGACCGTGTACCAGTACTACAGTTGTAGTATGACTGTGTACAAGTACTGCAGTTGTAGTATGACTGTGTACCAGTACTACAGTTGTAGTATGACTGTGTACCAGTACTACAGTTGTAGTATAACTGTGTACCAGTAATACAGTTGTAGTATGAGTGTACCAGTACTACAGTTGTAGTATGACTGTACCAGTACTACAGTTGTAGTATGACTGTACCAGTACTACAGTTGTAGTATGACTGTACCAGTACTACAGTTGTAGTATGACTGTACCAGTACTACAGTTGTAGTATGACTGTGTACCAGTACTACAGTTGTAGTATGACTGTACCAGTACTACAGTTGTAGTATGACTGTACCAGTACTACAGTTGTAGTATGGCCGTGTACCAGTACTACAATTGTAGTATGACTGTACCAGTACTACAGTTGTAGTATGACTGTGTACAAGTACTGCAGTTGTAGTATGACTGTGTACCAGTACTACAGTTGTAGTATGACTGTGTACCAGTACTACAGTTTGTAGTATGACTGTACCAGTAACAGTTGTAGTATGGCCGTGTACCAGTACTACAATTGTAGTATGACTGTACCAGTACTACAGTTGTAGTATGACTGTGTACAAGTACTGCAGTTGTAGTATGACTGTGTACCAGTACTACAGTTGTAGTATGACTGTGTACCAGTACTACAGTTGTAGTATGACTGTGTACCAGTAACTACAGTTGTAGTATGACTGTACCAGTACTACAGTTGTAGTATGACCGTGTACCAGTACTACAGTTGTAGTATAACTGTGTACCAGTACTACAGTTGTAGTATGACCGTGTACCATACTACAGTTGTAGTATGACCGTGTGCCAGTACTACAGTTGTAGTATGGGCTGTGTACCAGTACTACAGTTGTAGTATGACTGTGTACCAGTAAATACGTTTGTAGTATGACTGTGTACCATACTTTCAGTTGTAGTATGACTGTGTACCAGTACTACAGTTGTAGTATGACCTTGTACCAGTACTACAGTTGTAGTATGACTGTGTACCAGTACTACAGTTGTAGTATGACCGTGTACCAGTACTACAGTTGTAGTATGACTGTGTACCAGTACTACAGTTGTAGTATGACTGTGTACCAGTACTACAGTTGTAGTATGACCTTGTACCAGTACTACAGTTGTAGTATGACTGTGTACCAGTACTACAGTTGTAGTATGACTGTGTACCAGTACTACAGTTGTAGTATGACTGTGTACCAGTACTACAGTTGTAGTATGACTGTGTACCAGTACTACAGTTGTATGACTGTGTACCAGTACTACAGTGTAGTATAACCGTGTACCAGTACTACAGTTGTAGTATGACTGTGTACCAGTACTACAGTTGTAGTATGACTGTGTACCAGTACTACAGTTGTAGTATGACCGTGTACCAGTACTACAGTTGTAGTATGACTTGTTTACCAGTTTCTACAGTTGTAGTATGACTGACCAGTACTACGTTTAGTATGACTGTGTACCAGTACTACAGTTGTAGTATGACTGTGTACCAGTACTACAGTTGTAGTATGACTGTGTACCAGTACTACAGTTGTAGTATGACTGTACCAGTACTACAGTTGTAGTATGACCGTGTACCAGTACTACACTTGTAGTATGACTGTGTACCAGTACTACAGTTGTAGTATGTACCAGTACTACAGTTGTAATATGACCGCGTACCAGTACTACAGTTGTAGTATGACTGTGTACCAGTACTACAGTTGTAGTATGACTGTGTACCAGTACTACAGTTGTAGTATGACTGTGTACCAGTACTACAGTTGTAGTATGACTGTGTACCAGTACTACAGTTGTAGTATGACCGTGTACCAGTACTACACTTGTAGTATGACTGTGTACCAGTACTACAGTTGTAGTATGTACCAGTACTACAGTTGTAATATGACCGCGTACCAGTACTACAGTTGTAGTATGACTGTGTACCAGTACTACAGTTGTAGTATGACTGTACCAGTACTACAGTTGTAGTATGACTGTGTACCAGTACTACAGTTATAGTATGACTGTGTACCAGTACTACAGTTGTAGTATGACTGTGTACCAGTACTACAGTTGTAGTATGACCGTGTACCAGTACTACAGTTGTAGTATGTACCAGTACTACAGTTGTATGTACCAGTACTACAGTTGTAGTATGACTGTGTACCAGTACTACAGTTGTAGTATGACTGTGTACCAGTACTACAGTTGTAGTTTTGACTGTGTACCAGTACTACAGTTGTAGTATGACTGTGTACCAGTACTACAGTTGTAGTATGTACCAGTACTACAGTTGTAGTATGACTGTGTACCAGTACTACAGTTGTAGTATGACTGTGTACCAGTACTACAGCTGTAGTATGACCGTGTACCAGTACTACAGTTGTAGTATGACTGTGTACCAGTACTACAGTTGTAGTATGACCGTGTACCAGTACTACAGTTGTAGTATGACTGTGTACCAGTACTATAGTTGTAGTATGACTGTGTACCAGTAGTACAGTTGTAGTATGACCGTGTACCAGTACTACAGTTTGTGTATGACTGTGTACCAGTACTACAGTTGTTTGTATGAAACCCTGTACCAGTACTTTCGTTGTAGTATGACTGTACCAGTACTACAGTTTTTAGTATGACTGTACCAGTACTACAGTTGTAGTATGACCGTGTACCAGTACTACAGTTGTAGTATGATAGTGTACCAGTACTACAGTTGTAGTGTGACTGTGTACCAGTACTACAGTTGTAGTATGACTGTGTACCAGTACTACAGTTGTAGTATGACTGTGTACCAGTACTACAGTTGTAGTATGACTGTGTACCAGTACTACAGTTGTAATATGACTGTGTACCAGTACTACAGTTGTAGTATGACTGTGTACCAGTACTACAGTTGTAGTATGACCGTGTACCAGTACTACAGTTGTATGACCGTGTACCAGTACTACAGTTGTAGTATGACTGTACCAGTACTACAGTTGTAGTATGACTGTTTACCAGTACTACAGTTGTAGTATGTACCAGTACTACAGTTGTAGTATGACTGTGTACCAGTACTACAGTTGTAGTATGACTGTGTACCAGTACTACAGTTGTAGTATGTACCAGTACTACAGTTGTAGTATGACTGTGTACCAGTACTACAGTTGTAGTATGACTGTGTACCAGTACTTCAGCTGTAGTATGACCGTGTACCAGTACTACAGTTGTAGTATGACTGTGTACCAGTACTACAGTTGTAGTATGACCGTGTACCAGTACTACAGTTGTAGTATGACTGTGTACCAGTACTATAGTTGTAGTATGACTGTGTTTCCAGTAGTACAGTTGTAGTATTTACCGTTGTACCATACTACAGTTGTAGTATGACTGTGTACCAGTACTACAGTTGTAGTATGACCGTGTACCAGTACTACAGTTGTAGTATGACTGTGTACCAGTACTACAGTTGTAGTATGACTGTACCAGTACTACAGTTGTAGTATGACCGTGTACCAGTACTACAGTTGTAGTATGATAGTGTACCAGTACTACAGTTGTAGTGTACGTTTTACCAGTACTAAGTTGTAGTATGACTGTGTACCAGTACTACAGTTGTAGTAATGACTGTGTACCAGTTCTACAGTTGGGAGTATGACTGTGTACCAGTACTACAGTTGTAATTTTGACGTGTACCAGTACTACAGTTGTTTGTATGACTGTGTACCAGTTTCTACAGTTTGTAGTATGACCGTGTACCAGTACTACAGTTGTATGACCGTGTACCAGTACTACAGTTGTAGTATGACTGTACCAGTACTACAGTTGTAGTATGACTGTGTACCAGTACTAAAAAGTTGTAGTAAAGACCGTGTACCACTACTACAGTTGTAGTATGATTGTGTACCAGTACTACAGTTGTAG